CAATCGATCACGAAATTGGCTTGATTTATGTGTTATTCATGATTTTTAGAAAATTATGGTAGGTTTAATTAAAATTCGGTTCGGAACGATTTAATTAGAATAATTTAATGTCCAATTGATTACCCTAATTAAAAATTAATTAAGCCACTAATTAAGCCTATATAAGGCCAATATAACTCTTGATTTCTCTTACTCATCACTTCATTTACACTTTGAGACCCAAAACGCGAGAGAGAGTGAGAGGCTAAGAAACTTGAGATCAAACTTGAGGTAGAGAGGGTCATTATTTGGAGACTTAAGGAATTGTTCAAGATTACCTCTAAATCTTAAGAGATTGAGAAGTTAATGTGAGAATTCAAGCCTTAGGTCTTGTTTTTGAGTTGGTAAATTCATGAATTCATGAGAATTGAGTGGATTAATATGAGTGTTGGACTAGAATGAAGAAATATTGATCATACCATGCTTGCATGTTCATGTTCATCATAGTTTGAGTTGAAATTTCAAAGAATTGGTCATTGCAAGTGTTTATTTTACCTTTGTTTTGAGAATTCATGTTGTTTTATATCATGTCATACCAAATGATCATGTTTTGGAAGCCTTGAAGCCAATCATCACATGCATGTTATGTTTTCAAAGATTTGAGTTTAGTTTTGAACAATTGACAAGCTTTTGGGCCTTGATTTTGTGAAATGATTTAGAATCCACCATGTTTTATTTATTTACAAGTATTTCCTCAAGTTTTTGGCCCAAAAGACCATGATCTGCAGCTTTGGAATTGAGTTTTGTACTTGGTAGAGCAATCTGGAAATTTCAAATTCTACCTCTTCACTCGAGCGACCACTCTGTGATTTTGCGCTTCCGCTCGAGCGACCAAAAGTTGGCTCGAGCATGAAATGCAAGCTCCCAAAAGTTTCATGTTTTTGCATATTGCTCTAGCGACAAGAGTTGCGCTCGAGTGAGGAATTGAGTCTCACGCTCGAGCGACCATCGAGCGGCTGTTAATTGGAAAAATCACACAACCAGTACTTTTTCACGTTTGCAGACCGCTCGAGCGAAGAAAGTTGCGCTTGAGCATTCCCTCACATGTTTACATGTCCGCTCGAGCGAAGGAAGTTGCGCTCAAACGGGACCCTTGTTTTCAGCAAGTTTTGTTAAGGGTTCTAAAGTGCATTTTAGCATCCACATTGCATCCTAGGCATTCCTAGGCCATGATTAAGACTCAATAAGAAGTTAAGACCTAGAAACATACTAAGAATGAGACGAAAGAAGTTATGTACCCAATGAGTGTGTGTTTCATTATGTGTATGTAGGTCACGCGCCACAAGTTATCTGATTTGTCTGTTTTGCAAATGGAGCCATCTGTGAGTAATAATTTAGTAAGCTATGTTCAAGTTAAATTATTTTCTGTATATGGAATAAGATCTGTTCTATGAAATGCTACGTTTTGTACTATGAATGATTATCCAACTCTGACAAATATTTGTGGCATTAATGCTGTGATTCAAGTATGCTATTTGTACCCGGATCGGAGGTTCCTTATGGAACTGACAAGTTATCTGTACCTGGCTGGAGGTTCTTATATGAAACTAACAAGTTATCCGTTCCAAGTTTGGAGGTTCCTTCATAGAACTGACAAGTTATCTGTACTCGGCCGGAGGTTCCTCTATGGAACTGAGAAATATGATCTATAATGCTCTGTATATGATCTGTTAGCGCTAATGGATGTATATGCTCTGAACAAGAATACGAATATGAATCTGTCTTCGATATGAACTCTGGTTTCTGAATTGTTTTGGGATATCATTTATTTAACCCTTTACTCTGTTATTATTTACTGGGCTTTCGCTCACTATTTATTATTATGTATGTAGGTGAGCAGACGTGTGTCCAAGCTTAAGATGATGCCTAAAGAGTTTTGTGTTTGTCAGCCACCCTTTTGTGCCTCCCGAGGAGATTCTGGATTAAGTCAAGTCTTGTGGCCATGTTTTGTGAATGTTTAAGATTTTGTTTATTTGGGTTTACGAACAAAATATCTGTTATATGTGTACATGGGGTGACATGTAATTGCTATACAACTCGATGTATGTCTGCACAGCTCGATGAACTATGTATAGCACGTGTAACTACTGTACATCGCATGTAACTATCTGTTATATGTTTGCACAGCTCGATGTATATGTATGCTTATAAAATTTAAGATTATCTATTCCATGTATGTTTGCACAGCTCGATGGACTATGCATGTTTTTATATATCTGCTTCCGCAACCCCTAATCATATGTTTTTTCTGTTCAGAGGCCTTGGGTAATCTAAGAATTACTGGCCGGTTATGACGCTAAATCTATAGGGGCGGGTTTGGGTCGTGACAGTAATAAGTTGAGATTTCTTTAATAATATTATTGAAGGATCTTAACTAATAAAAAATAAACACATGTTGGACCTCTCCTACTACCAAAAGTTAGAAAGAGATGTGCCACTAATTTTCTCAGGAGATTTGATCAAAACCCCCTCGTAATAAAACTTTAATGCATTAAGGAGAAGTACAAAAAGTTTTTCTTAAAAGTTCAACACATACCACTACTACTAAAATATACTTATTGAGTAATTTAATATTTTAAAATTTAAAATAATATAACTTTTAATCTACATGTCGTTTTTTTAAATAAAATTAGTATTTTTAGAATCCTCTCATTAAGATCTATTAAATAAGATCAATGTTAACCGTGAAATTCTTAAATATATATATATATATATATATTGTCAAAATTAACGTAAATAATAATATGTTACTTTGTCTCAGAGTAATATGTTACTCTGATTTACAGTAACATTTTACTGTTGCAAAAAATAGAGTATATGCTAGATGAACTAACCAAAAATATATATACACAACATTTTAAAACTTATATAAAATAAAATAAAAGTGTTCTTCGTCAAAAGAGTTATGTGAGATATATATATATATATATATGTATGGACAATATTATCCAAGAAAAAAAAGAAATTTTTTTAATATATCCATACTCAATTATATGCCTCATTCTTAAAGGATTTATGAAACAAAATAAAATGAGTTATTTTTTTCCCTAAATAAAAATTTAATGAAATAATTTTTGCTAAATTTCACGATAGCAATTAGATGTGACTGCTTCGAACAATTAAATGTAACCTTTTGTTTTATTGTGTTTCAAATTTCATGTAACTGCTTCAAACAATTATGTAACTTTTTGTTTTATTGTTTTTCAAATTTCATTTTTAATTCTAAGGTATTCATACACAAGTTCTAATTTATAAATTTATATTTTATTAAGTCCTAATTAAAATTTTTTGGATCTTCAAATTTTATTAAAATTTTAATAGTCAGAATTGTCCTTAAAACAATGATTGTTCATCATTTATGATTATCTATAAAGGAAAATGATGATTTGAAATTTATTTTGATTTTCAAAATTTTAAAATATCAATTTTAAAATTCAAAAAAACTAAAAAAAAAATTATGGAAACTTTTTTAAAAAAATAAAAAAATTGATTTCTTTTTTTACAAAATTGAAAATTTTGTGTTTATAAAAGAGCATGGTAATGGAATATTGATGTGCAAAACTGGAAAAAAAATTAATAATTGAAAAAATTGATAATTTTTTAAGTTCTAAAATTGAAAAAAACTGATAATATTCTCAATTTTATTTGATAGTTGAATCAAACCAATAAGTAGAAAGGCAAAAATATTTCATGCTTTGTTTTTTTTATCAATTAGTGAAAAATTGATAATATTCTTAATTTTAAAAATTAAAAAAAACTGATAATATTTTTAATTTTACTATTGATTCAAAAAATCTTAAATAAGACTAAAATTATCATGACATTTATAAATAAAATTTTTAGGTAATTAACTCTTAATTCAATTGCCCAATACAATTGTACACAACTTTTTACACTGTTGACTTTTTTCTCGAGAATTAAAAAATAATGATTTCAGACACAAGTTACATCGGTATTTTTATCTTTTTAAATATTTTTTTTTTACTTTCATCAATTAATATAATTGCACATAATTTATAATTTAACACAATTAGACTTCATTGTGGGGATTAAATGGGCAATGTCAACGCGAAATATTGTGTGTGTGTGTTTTTTTTATAAAAATTTTAATCTCTTAATCTGTATGAAATGACCTAAAAGACTTTCAAATAAATGAAAATCCAATCATGTTTTTATTTTTATTTTTTTTGTTTTGTTTCCATGTATTTTTCAAAACAATTGTGTACATGAGATAATTTTTTTTTTTAAAATAAAAACTTATCTTGTTTTATCCTAAAATAGAAAATCAACAGTGTTACAAGGTTCTTTTTGTTCCGATATAAAATATTTTACATTAAAAAATAAAATTAAAATTCATGTACATTTATTTTGCACCATTTTTTTAAAATTTTATTTTTTGATGTTTTTTTTTGGGTGAATAATTTTTTTGATGTTTGGTTAACACTTAAAATAATTTTTTTATTTTTATGTTTATATGTATGATTGGATGAATATCAATAGAATTGAGGGAAAAAAAAATTTTAAAATCAATGCCAAATCAAAATGAGTTATAAAATATCAAAATTTGAGTTGAAAAATTAATCACTGTGTTTAATTTTAATTTTCTAAAAATTAAATTTTTTATTTTTCGTTTTTTTATTTATTTGCAGAGAACATTTTTAAAATTTTAAGCAAATTTTTAAAAACCTTTTTAAATACACCTTACCTAGATATATCTAAAAAGTAAAATATTTATAAAAATTAATAAATACACAAGAATACGAAAATGTATTGATTTTTTTTTTGTTTTTGTATTTTTAGTATTTAGTGAATTTTTTTTTTAAATTTCATAAATATTACACTTTTTCAAGTGTAGTTATGTTATGTGTATCTAAAATTAAAAAATTACTTAAAATATTAAAAAAATCTAGTGAAAATAAAAAAAACATGAAAAATAAAAAATTAATTTTCTAAAAAGTGAATTCTAAAAAGGGAAACTAAACAAGTTGGATGATATTCAAAATAAATAAGTTTTAACCGAGCCAAGCTGTACATCCCTGGTGGTAACGAACCATTGATCAACACTAACTCTCTTTTCTTATCAGAACTATTTTAGGTTTACAACATTTCCATTTATAGCACATTTATTGAATTTAGAGGGGAGAAACACAACAAGAAATCATAATTTTGCGTACTTTCTGAGATTTGCAGTAGCATTTTTGGCATGTTCAGGGACAGGCATGTTGGTAAGAAGAGTACATCTTGAAGATGATATCAAATATCTGCTTCCCGAATTTGAAGGATCAACCTTATAGAGTCTTACCTCCCATACCTGCCAAAAATGCCATAAAAAAATATTGTTAGCAATCACTATTCACTACTAGTATGTTAATCATAAAAAAATATCAAAGTAATATAATTGCGATTTCATTGTACACATTATGAATCAATTGTCAGCCGTGTGTGTTCCAATTCCCATCAGTGTGCAAGTTCAAATTCACCTTAGTCCCAATTTTTTAAATTTTTTCTCGGTTTTTATGTAGTTGTGGTATCCAAATTCACCTTAGTCCCAATACTTTAAGTTTAGTTTTAATTTAATCATTCCATTTAAATTTTTGTTAAATTTTTTTACTTGTACATCTCAAAAGACTACCAAGTGTCTTAAAACTGTTTACCTCTAACTTAAATAGAATGATTAAATTGTTCAAATTAAAATAATGAAACCAAAGTAAAATTCACGTCAAATTATAAAGTGAAAAGTATAAATTATTCATATATATATATATATATATATGTATTTTGGTTGGTTGGTTGTAACTAGGGCTGCAAATAAATAGAGTTGTTTGTGAACAGACTCGAGCTCAGTTCGGTAAAAGTTTGTTCGAACTCGATTCGTTAATTTTTTTTATTATGTTCGAGTTCGAACTCGAGCTTGTTAAAGTTTTAATAAACGTACTCAAATATACTATAGCTTGACTCATAAGCTTGACTCGTTAGTTGGCTCGTTTAACATTTATTATTTATATATTAAATAATATAAAAATATGTATAAAAAATAAGATAAATTTGTTATTTATGTATTTAAAAAATGTAAATGTAAATAATAGCTAACTATACATAATACATTTATATAATAGTGGTAGTAAATATTATTATTTTAGTAAAATATTGACTTTTTTTTTAGTATGTTTATATATATTACATATATAATTGTATAATTAAAATTTTAATTATAACTTTAGTTTCATATATAATTACAAATTTTTAAATTTTTTGGCTCGTTAAGGATCATGAACATACTCGAGCTCGAGTCAAACCTAAGTCAACTCGACTCAAGCTCTGTTCGTCAAATTTTTATTAAGATCGAGATCGAATTCAATTTATTAAAATCTTAATAAACAAACTTAAACATATTAAAACTCGACTCGACTCGAGTAGCTTCAACTCGTTTCCAGTTCTAATTGTGAGGACATGTAGGTATAAATTTATAATTTTTTTGCCTCGTTAAAGCTCGTGAACAGGCTTGAGCTCGAGTCGAGCCTAAGCCAACTCGGCTTAAACTCGGTTCGTTAATTTTTTATTCAGCTCGAGTTCGAATTTATTAAAATCTTAATAAACAAACTTAAACATATTAAAACTCGACTCAACTCGAGTAGCCTCAACTCGTTTCCAGTTCTAATTGTGAGGAGAGAGGACCTGAATGGTTTTGCCAACATTGATGGGAGTGGCTTCAGCGTAGACAAGGTCTCCGAGCTCAGCACGTTTCAAATGGTTAATGCTGAGGTTGATTCCGGCCACCCTCTGCAACCCAGATGCCAAGTGGGCTCCAATGCTCGCCAGTGACTCTGCTATTAGTGCCGACACCCCTCCGTGTAACACCTTGAATGGCTTACTTACATAAATATATATATATTCATTATTATTATTATAAAGTTTAAAAGCATAGGAATAATATTAGAAATTTCAAAAGTTCTATTAAAATTTTTACTAAATATCTTATATGAGTGTCGTACTCATGTGAATTTCATGTGAGTCCCACACCTATGTGAAATATTTGATAAAATTTTTGAAATTTCTAACATTTTTAAAAAAATAATAAAGTTGGCAAAGTAAACCAATTCCAAAGTTTTTAATTAAAAAAAAAAATTCATTACAATGAGCCAAATGAAAATTAAATATAATATCTAATTCAATATAAAGAATAGTCTATAAATACACAAGTAATAAGACATATGATACAACATAATCGGGATGTGATGCATTAACAATTATGCATTTTTAATCCAAAACTTTCTCTTGTATTTTTCCCTCCCCATTAAATTCCAGTTACATCCAAGTCATCGGGTCAAGAATTGGTGGAGTGAGAGATTAAAAAACACAAAGAAAAAGTTGCTCCTGAATATGGGGTGTTTGGGAAGTTAAATTTGGATTTTTTTTGGGCTGAAATTTATAAAAATATAAAATAAGTTAAAATAATTAATATATAAAATATCACATTAAATTTATAATTATTATATATTTTTTTTATAAATATCATATCTATTTATAAAAAAATTCAACACTCTTCTTAAATATCAAAACTTTAACTTACTAGTTAAAAATTAAAATAAATTCCGAAACGAGGACATGGCGTGCTGGATTTTGAAGATTCTTTGTGTAGGGTTTTGATGATATTGTGTTGACCTCGTGATCTGAAACTTCAGTCAGTAACGTGAGCCCCCATTGACATTTGATCTAGTACCTAATCAAAATATTCAATTGAACCCTGTAAAACGAGGGTAGTTGATCTGTCGGCCTTTAAGTGGTCGGGAGGTGATGAACAGAACAAGGAAAAAGAGAAACTGATTGCTTTTGATTAGTAGGTGCGGTGCTATATGCATATTAAAGGGTTGTTTGAGATGTCTTGAATAAGTGTATTTTTATATTTTTAGATTAAAAAATTAAGAAAAAAAAATATAGATATTTAGGTTAATTTTTTGACTTTTTATGAAAAAATGTGTATTAAAAAATTATATTAATAAGTGTGTAGGAGAAGATTAGATAAAGAGGAGCAAGGATCCTCTCCTTACCTTTCCTACTTCACTTCCTCCTTGTAATGGTGAAGATTCATTTTGAGAGAATTCAATGGTGTAAATTATTCTAAAAAAATTATTTTTTAATTTTTAATAAAGTAATCTAAGCCGTTAAATTCTTTTAAGATGAATCTTAACCATTGTAAGGAGGAAGCGAAGTAAGGAATGCAAGGAGAGAATCCTTGCCCGATAAAGAGATGGTACAGATTGGCAGTGGAGAAGATAGTTGAGTAGATGAGGAAATATTGTCTCATTCTCGGGCTTTGATTGGATGGTGTTGTTTGGCCCGTGGGGGCCACCACGGGTCCCGTTTTTCTAATCGGAACCGTGCAATGTGTAGAACTCGTCGAGTATTATAGGCTTGTAAAAAATCACATTGATTGGATATCAATAGCTATCTGATCGTGTTAGTTTTTCTTGTTAACTGTTAACTATAACACTATCCATTTTTATACAAAACTAATTTGATCATATAGTTAGTGATACCCGATAGAAGTGATTGTTTATAGGCATATAGTATTAGACGATTTCTACATATTGAACGGTTTAAATATCAAAATAGGACCCATGGTGGACCCCACGGGCCCAACTTTACCATCTAATTTAGTTAATATTGTACTACAAATTTTTTTTTCCTTTGTCAGCGACTGACAGATCACGGCAGCACTGATTTGGCCCAACTCATTGATTTGTATTAATATATATATATATTAATTTTTTAATTTTTTTTTGGTAAATAGTGATAACTTTTTGAATAATTTTTTGGCTTTTTGAATTTTTTTAAGGTTGCTAAACTTGGCCTAATATATGTTATAATATTGTTATTTTAATATTATGATCTCATCCATTATATAAATTATAAATATTCAAAATCTTTAAAATTTTGCTATATCATCTATTAATATACTGGCCTCATTTGGAAAATTGACATTTTAATAGATTATTTGTGTTTAACTATTTTAGTATGTTAAAATTTTTGTGCTTGGAAAGATAGTTAGATTTTTTTATAGTTTGATGTAATATTTATAAGAAAAAAATGAAATGATTATGAATTTGATGTAATATTTTATCTTACAACAGTGATTAATAGTCCGAATTTTCATAACCTGAATGGCTTGAATGTATCAAAAACCATTCAGGCTACATAAATTTAAGCTACAAAGCATTTTTTATTTTATTTTATTAGTTATTTAAGACTATTTTATCTTTTTATGAATTTTAATTAAAAAAAATCAAAAACTCACTTATCAAACAAGTCACTAATTAATATATTAATTGATATATATAATATTATTTAACGAGTATTAACGGAATGAGTTGATTTTTTAATTGATGTACACGTGACAGAAATAAAGGGGCAATCCGTTTTGAATATATTTTAGAAACAAATTCAAAATTAGAAACTTTTAAAAACTAGAAACTGTTTTACCTACTAAATTCTTTTTGTCAATACTAGCACAGTACCACACCCTTATTACACGACGCTACATTCACTGTATCTTTCGCCACCATCCCCTCCGGGCCACTACCCCAACTACTACTATTGTACCATCATTAATACGATCATAAGTAAATACAATCAAACATAAAAAAAAAATTATATTTTTTAAACAAAATTCTGCTAAAACAAACTGGAGTGTAAGACACATTATTCTTACCAACTTCATTCAAGAGTAAACAAAAATGTTTTAGAGCTCTAATATAGGAGCTCTAATAGCTCTAATGGGAATGTAGGACCCACACTGATGTGATGTTTGTGCTTTGCCTTGTTTTTATTTTTATTTTTTTATTGCTTGGACACATCACTAGAGCTCAAATTAGAGCTATAGATTTAGAGCTCTCTAGCATCTCCCAAGAATAAATTACATGAATCAAAATTAAAACAATTAAGTTTGTTTAGGATGAAAATAGTATAAAGTAAGACAAAGAGAAAAAAAAAAAAAAAACATTTTTACATTTGTTTAGCGTGAAGGTTGTGAAAATGATAACAAAGTTTTTTTTTTTTTGGTATAATTCATATTAAATTGTAATTAACTTTATATTTTTGCAAAAAGGAAAAAAAAAAACAGTATAACGTAATAAAATGTAAATTTGTCCCTATAACTATAATTAAATTTTCAAATTTCTCTATTTTTTTCTTGCAAAATTTTTATAGAAATTTTCATCATAATCAAATATTTGGAAGTTGTTTCTATTTCCTTCCTTCCTTTCACTCAATTTTTTCTTGGGTAAATTACACTGACACCTTGAGATTTGGTTAAATTATATTTTATTCTTTATGTTTTAGAAATTACATTTTTATCTCTGTAGTTAATATTTTCATTTCACAAATCCTTACTTATACAAAAGACAACAACTCATAGTAGAAAAATAGAAAAAATTACATTGAAAAATAAATAATTAAAGGAAAGGAAAGGAAAGAAAAGAAAAAAAAAGAAAAAAAAGAAGTAAAGCAAAACAAGAAAAGAGAGACGGTCCGAATTCAATATATTCATTTTTTCCAAATAATTACAATGACAGGAGTTAGTATAATTTTTCAAACGTCAGGACTGATATGTATTAAACTCAAACCTCATAGGTGTAAGTGTAATTTATCCTTTTTTCTTTTACTTTCACATCCTCTAACTTTTCTCTCAAAACCAAACGGAAAGAAAGAAAGAAAGAAAAACCTGACAGCACTTGTGAGTGACTTGAAGGCGGCCGGTGACCTTTTCCGGCGACAAATCTTCAATCTCAAAACCAATTGCATGGAGGGGAGCATCCACAACCTCCGTCTTTGATTTTGATGATGATGATGGTGGTGCTGTTGGTGATGATGGAAGCTCCATCTTTTTTAATCGATCAAAATCCAAAGATGAATCACTACAAGTTTGCAAATGAAATATTTTTTCTTCAATTTGGAGAAAGTATTGCGGAAGAGTTGTGCCAAGTAGATTTAAAAATGAGAGAGAGAGAGAGAGAGAGAGAGAGATAGGGGTACTTTATTGGGAAGTGGAATTTGAAGAGTAAACTATTTCTGTGAGGCAAAATTAATTAATTATTTTAAAAAATATAATTATTATATAATATTTTATTTTATAAGTATAATAAATTAAATAGATTATAATTATTAAATTAATTTAATTTTTTTTATATGAGTAATATATACGAAATGTTTAACAAAATAAATCGTTTAAATTATTAAAGCAAAACTCAAGAAATTCAATCAGCAAAACAACTCTTAGATGGAAGGAAATTTACCTTCATTTTATTGTGTGCTTTTTGGCCATGTTTGATTCACAACACTAATAATGAGGTATTAATAATCCTATCAAATTAGTGTGATATTAGCTATCCCACCCCTACCCTATTACTAATAATCCTACAAATTTGTTAGATTAATTATCTATTGGATTAATAATCCTAAACTAAAATGTCAAAATAAACATAGGATGATTGGGCCCACGGATTAATAATCTCAATCCCATGCTTTAATCCTTCCAATCAAACATGCCCTTTGTTAATATTTACGTTATATTTGAAACATAAATTTTACTTAAAATTTAAAATGAAAAATGAAATGAAATTAATTTTTTAAATTAAATTTTTATCAAAATTTATAATCTGAATGGTTGGTGAGCGAGAGAGAGGGTTAACGGAAAGGAGAGAAGAGGTTGATGGCTGCGTTTCTTTTACAATTCTTCCACCAACTATTTTCTTAATAGGTTTAATAAAAAAATATAAAATAAAAAAAAAATCTTTTTTATTTATTTATTATTATTTTATTTTTCTCTCTCTACTTTGTAATTATTGAATGGGTTGAATGGTAGAGAGGGTACTCACGTATTATTTTATTTTTCTCTCTCTACTTTGTAATTATTGAATGGGCTGAATGGTAGAGAGGGTACTCACGAGGAACACGAGGGACGCCAACAATAACGTTCGGTTCGGTTTGTTAGTGTATAGTCCATATTTGTTTTCACAATTTTTTATTTTTATTTTTAAATTAAATTAAATATTGATTTTAACCTATTTTGGAGTTTTCATTTATAAGTCTTTTTTTTTTTTTTTAAATCTAGACTTTATTAATAATTATTTTTTTTAATTTTTAAAGTCTCATTATATTAGGGGAGTTTTAGTTTAAAGTCCATAATATTATAATTTTATAAGATAAAAGGTATATAATATTTTCATTATAGTTAGGGTTCCTCAACATTTTCATAAATAGAAATTTTCAACTTTCAACAGAGAAATTTTTTTTACATAAAAATTTCTTTGTGACGAGCTGAAATTTCTTTAATAAAATTATTGAGTGATTTTAACTAATAGGAAAAAATATTTTGGATCTCTTCTACTATTCAAAATTAGAGAGACATGTTTTAATAATTTTTCTTTAAGGTAAATTACACTTACACCCCCTGAGATTTGGGTTTAATACATATCACTCATGACTTTTACGAAATTACACTAACTAGTGTCCAGCTCCCCCCCTTTGCCATTGTCATTACTGGTAACTGACCCCGTCGACTCGAAATTTTTGTAAACACCGACCCTTACTCAATAGGGCAATTCAAAGAGGAGAACGAGGACAGCTGACTACCGCTAAAAGTCAGACTATGAGTACACATTGTATGATTGAAAACTGCCACTGCATACTACCTGGTGCTTGTAGGTCTGACTGGTGCCTTCTCTCTAACAGCTGCTTTAATCAATGTTAAGTTTGACTACGAGGCTTCTTAGCCCGCAACTGACTACTTATTGAAAAACCAAACAGGAAATGAATAGTCGTACTACAACAACTGTAAACATTCCCTCCCTGCTCTGACTTTGATCGACTTGCCCGCATAGTGTCTTTTTTGAGAGAAAAAATATTTTGCCCACTCTGTCATTATAACGATTTCAGTTTTGACCCGACCTTTGTTGTATTTCGGACTTGGGTTTTGTGGTTTCATATTGTTATTCATGTCTTTTTCTCTCATTTCTCCTTTGAGTTTGAGTATTGGAGTGTATTGGGCATGTTTGGAACATGTTGGTTGCCAGTTGATCAAATTGTTGTTGTCCAGGAATTTGCTTCTTCGTTCAAGCGAGGCTTCTTGCGCTTGAGTGAGCTTTGTGAGCTCCTAGTACTTTTGCAGGTCTGCAGAGATACAAGGAGGGTAGCGTTCTTTGTTCAAGCGAGGCTCCTTGCACTCGAGCGATGGTATATGTCTGCAAAACTTCTGAGAGTATGTATTTCGTGCTTAAGCGATGCCACTTATTGTGTCTGGTCGCTCGAGCAACAACTCTTGCGCTCGAGCGAGCATTGCCTATATCAGTTCGTAGCAGCACTTTTTTTCATCACTTTTTGATAGATTTTCACTTAAAAACCCTAGACTAGCTCATTCCCTCTCTAAAATTTGATTTCTCTCTACAAATCCACTAGGATCTAAGGATCTCTCTACCCTACTCCTTTAATAAAAAGGTGGAGAATCTCAAGGGCTACCATTACATCCGAATGGAGTTTGGTTTCGACATTTTTGAAGTTTCTCTATTCCTCTTTTGGGCTTCCACACTTGAGGTAGGGATTTCCCACATTTTTATATGGGTTTTAACTTAGTTATTTGATTATTGTGTAACAATGGGAGACTTCGGGTGTGTTATGGACAAACCTAAGGTTTGAGTGTGAAATAAAAGAGGGTTTTCATGTGTATGTTGTGGAAATGGTTATGGGGTTAAATATAAAGTTGTATGGTGGCAAGATGGTTCATTTTGGGTATTTGGAGTGATGTTTGGGAAAAATAGGAGTTTGCCCTAGAATGATCCCAATAGTTATTTTTGTATAATTGACTGAAATTGGTATTGTAAATGTGAAATTGGTTGGATATATAGATAAATGGTGAAGCTAGATATGTATTATCTCTCACTGTGGAATTTTGAATACTTTATCTATTTTGAGATTGAATATCTGTTTAGAAATATTTGTATTGGGCTATCGGTGGAGGATAGTTATGATTGTTGTAGAAATTGTATAAGGATTAGGTGAATGGAAACTAATCTCTTTTGGGTTGTCATTGACTATGACTATGCTTTAAATACATTATATATGTATGATGTTTGGGAGGAGAAATGGGATGTACTCCATACTTGGGAGGAGATAGTGAATGGACACCATTGAAATTAAGTTAGCCTGTGTGTCCAGGGTGAAAGTCTGAAATCGTGCGTATACATAGGTGCCGATCCTGCGGACAAAATTTCTGTAAAATGGCAGATTTGAAGTGTTTGTGTGGTAGTATATGGAATTGAAAAACCATTGAGTTGTAGTCTCAATTAGGTTGTTGAAAGATAATGAAATTGAATCATGAATTAAGAAGGATAAATGAACTTGAAATTAATTGAAGGAAAATGAATTGAAATATGAACTTTGGGGCTTTACGATTATTTAAAATGTGGATATTTTGTCACTGGCTTTGTATATGCACATTACACTTATATCTTTGTTAAGTTCCATATATTGTGTTAGATTGTTTCTACTGGGCTTTGGCTCACCATATTTGGGAAAAATCATTTTTAGGTGCTGGTGACATGCCTCCGCTAAGACAATAGTTTAGAGGGGCTTTTGGGGGCAAGAGCTTCTTTCTTTTGTTATATGTGTTGTATGGCCAAGGGCTTTAAATTGTATTGAGCTAGGCTCACTGTTGTATAACCAAGCAATGACTTGGAAAGATGTACGCCTTTAGGACATATAAATACCTGTTTAACTTTTATTATCCTTTATCAACTGTAACACATGCTGTAGATTCAGGATGAATCATTTATGAATGTATATCGCATGTGTCACATTTTGTATACAGACTCTGATGATTGAAAGTATTTTATTTCTATTATTCTTCTGCTTTTGAGCTGGAATTATTGTATTACTTTGGGGGCGTTACTATTTGGTATCAGAGCTTACCGGGTTTGAATACTTTGGGTATGTGGGAAGTGGTTAGTACCACAATGGGTTTGTCTCGCTTGGTTAAGACGTTAGTATGTATTGTATGCTTATATGATTATATGGATATGGGATTTAGTTCCTAAGATATTGATTGGGTCTACGGGTTTTAGGAAGTCCTACTAGAAGAGCACTTGATCATTGCTGTTTCTAATTGGAACTCTAGCAACGTCGCGGGACGGTCATTATCTATGAAGGAAATTCGTATGTGTTTACGTGATTATGTGCTTATGTGGAGTGAATTAGTGTTGTCCATTGTATTAGGACGCGAGTGAGTTAGCTTCAGCACGTTCGTTAATGTGCTAATCTCTTTTGCTACCTTCATTAGGATGCCAGGACGTGGACGTGGTGGTGGTAGGTGTGGTAGGCCTAGAAGGCATGAGATGCCTCTACCGGATGATGTTCCGGCACAAGAAGAAGGGGTTGGTCAGACCAATGTGGCCGAACGAGTTTGTCAACAGGCCATGGGTGCCTTAGCCCGCGAAATGGCCAGAGCATTGGGAAATCCATGGACATTCTCAAGGCTGAGAATCAAGTCCAGGCCTAAGTCGCTGAGGCAGGATCATCTTTTCTCTAGAGAGACGATCGAATCTGGATAAATTTTTGGGTAATCCCAAAGAGCCACTGAAGGTAGATGAGTGGCTAGAATAGATAGTGAAGACGTTTGAGATACTGGGCATCGAGGACGACCAACTGAGGGTGACCTTGGCATCTTTCTAACTGAAGGGAGATGCGGGTCAGTGGTGGAAATATGCACGTAGGCGCATTAGGGTGACTTGGGAGGCTTTCGTCAGCGCTTTCCAGGACAAGTACTTACCTGCTATAGTAAGAGACAAGTTGGGGGATTAATTCTCCAAGTTGGTGCAGTTGAACACGCCTGTAGCTGAGTTTGAGGCCACATTCACTAGTTTATTGAGGTTCACACCGGAACTTGTGGTGACTGAGGAGCATCGTTGTCTAGAGTTTGAGGAGCGGTTAAGGACCGGGCTTATGTTTTGAGTGGCCAGGTCTATGATTAGAGATTATGGGCGTCTTGTGG